TGAAGAAATACTGAAACGATATCGTAGCTCTTGCTCCTATTGAAAACACTTTTTTGAAACCAGAACAAGATTACGGTTTCTCGACGCGCGTTTTGCAAACCAAGTTTTCAGGAGATCATTATGACTTAATTTCACTACTATGTTAGTGTTTTCATATGCTGGTGGCCTAACTAATACCTGTTAGTAGTACTTAACTACTACCGGTTAGTATTATTTTACCTGTTATTATTGTTTATCTGTTTTCCATTCAGAATTATTACGTATAAGACTAGTACGAACTATCAAGATAACTCTTGCTGGCTAGTTAAATATTTTTCTGTGAAATGATTGGAATATTGCCCATATAAAAATATAATGTTCTAATTCACACTATCTTCCTATTGAGCCTATTCAAAATAACTAATAATCGTTGTTACAACTATACCTTCGCCAAATGACACAAAATCAAAACATATTTCGAAACTTACATGAAAACTGCACTTTTAATTCATCATTGTGAACGGATCACAATGATAACAATGACATTTTATCCTTTGAAATAGTGTTGCCGCCGAGACAAGAGATTCTCGACTCTTGTCTCGTCTTGTCTTGTCTAATCATGTCTCGATCGAGACAAGAGAAGATTTTCCTTTCGAAAAATTTTGTCTCGTCAAGACAAGACATAAGGCCCTCTTGGACAAGATAAGACAAGACAAGAGAGTGCCTGAAAAACAGGTCTCTTGTCAAGACGAGAGACCATTTTCTCTCGACTTAGTCAAGACAAGACGAGAGAAATCATTTTCTTGTCTTGTCTCGACAAGAGGCATCACTACTTTGAAACTTAAATTTGATGTATTTCTTCTGAAATTCTACACAAATTCAGAGTCGTACAAAAGTTGATGATAAATTGATGATAAAACGGATTCATTCCACTAACTCTAGCAATGTGGTTTCGTTTGATCTAGATTTTGATTCACAAGTTCCTTTTGTAGTAATCACTTTTGATTTTTTTTAGGTTTCTCATCACTGATTCATCATTGTCTCCATTCTCAACCTTTTTTTACTTCACTTCCGAATCAATTATAATATACTCCTAAACCACTTCTTTGTTTGTGCATCAGGCAATGTTTCATTATACCAATGCAATCGATAACTGTGTGATAATTATTCGTGAAAAATATTTCCACAAGTGCTTGTCTTTTTCAGCATTTGCCTGCACTGCATATCCTGTATGTCCAGTTTTCACAACAAACTCTGAGAGTTAATGTTCTCCCTGATGCCACATAAACGTGTTATCATTCCCAATTATTCCCTCTGAATGCAAAAAGGTTCATCAGTAATTATGTTAATGGAGAAACTGATCAAAAGATTGGCAAAGAGTTATTACATTCGGAGGTAATTATAGCACATTCATGTAAATGGCTCTTGGTTGTTCTGGCTAAAGTCAAAAATATGTCGTTCAGGTATATGATATTATTTTCGTTTTCAAACCTCTGAATAAGTATGTGTTTGTGAAATGAGAGATTGCAATTTTTACTTTTTTCTTCAGCTCTTTCGAGCTGCTTTGGAACAAATTATAATAATAATATTTATTCAACAACAAGAAAATAACTAAAAGCAATTGAACATTATATAAATACCATTAAATGAAGATAGGTACTCACAGAAGCAAGTGATTGCTTATACGTGAGTGAAAATCTACTTGGCAATTACAATATAGGGGTGCTGCGATACTGTTTTTTTCCATAATCTTCGGGAAGTTGTCATGATAGGTGTATTATTTTTACTATCTATTCATCTATCTATCAGCCCATCTATTCCGGTTGATTATCTGCCCTTCACAAACCGTAACCCTTAAAAGTTGAAACATTTGCAGATTTACTTGGATGCATCTATTCAATATGCACGGTACCTGAGCTGGAGTAACTCAAAAGTCACATCCGAAATAAATTAAATATCGTAATATTTTATGACTGTGCAGGAGACGTGATAGTCATAGTATGTACTCCCTTTGAATTAATTCAATGCTTCTGTAACGACTGAATGAATGCAGAATTATAAACTATTTTGTTCATATCATATTAACAGGTCGAGAGAAGAAATGAAATGAAACGGGAATATTCTTAGGAGGGAATGATTTTTGGGAATAAGGGTTTTGGATTTCTACTTCTCCATCTTCATACAAAAAATGCGGGAATTTTCCAAAGAAAAGAAGAAAGCAATTGATTGTAGAATAAACTCTTCACAAATATGTGAAAATCATGTGAAGGTCGTATAAACTCATTTCAACCACACTAGCCGACAGTATTTATCCAGTAAGAGTTTGAAAATAACAAAAAGCGTATGTAATTCTCAGAGGAAGTTTGGCTTTGGGTTACATACTCAAAATACAGAGACTGAGCCGTCCTCATGGCGGAATCCGAGAAAATCATATAAGACTAAATGATTTTCTTTTTGTATTGAAATCGTTCAAACAACCAATCGACAGACATATTAAGAAAGTAGTGTCTAACAGGCACTTCTTTGTTGATATTGACACCAGTATGCAACGTGTCAGGTATTTCAACGAAAAAGTTTTCATGTGGGGTCAAGAAAAAAGCGGAATATGCTTCCAGAAAAAATAATGTACTTTGAGCTGATCTGCTGAATATTGAGGGCGCATTAGATGATACTTGTATACAATCAATTATTCAGACGTAGCACTGAGCGGTAAAATCACCTAAAACCTGGCCATAAATGGAATTTGTCAACTTCAATTGTTACAGGTAATAATGGACATTAAGATAGGTAGATGAATAGGTCATCCTTTGTGACCATCGTTACCTGTGTATGTCCATTATTTGTGACATGAGACCTGTTGAAACCTAGCGTTTGTTCACTACGTATGTGTTTGTTTCAAATAACCCCTTAAATCTCATTTGTTCGCTTACTTATTAATTTTTATTTGTGTTATATTGGATATTGTTGGTTGAGGTATATACTACATTTTAAGATACATGAGTTTCATTAAATAGGCCGTATTTTCGAATATAGATTTTACACTCTAAATGATTTGTATAAAAAAACTTGTATTTTTCATCATTCTTCAGCAATCGTGGATATTATTAACATGTGCAGCTGATTGCAACAAAATAGTACTTACGTTTTATGGCACTTCAAAGTTTCCAGAATAAGTTTATGAAGCAAAATCATTCACATTTCATAGAATTTTTCTGTTGAAATTAACGCAAAATTAGAGCTTTAAGTGACATTTTACCAATTGTTACAGATTGTGGACCTTCTGTTATATCTATGACAAGAAAAAACTACACAAGCTTGTTAGAGCAAGTCCACAGCGACTGCTTGACAGAAAGCTCCAGGATTTGGAATAAAAATTGGTTGACATAACCAAGTGCCCCCCGGAAAAAAGTGATGAACTTCAAAAAGTAGTTAGGACTTTCAAAGTCACGAAGATTTTTCCAGAACCCTGAAGAAGCAGCTTCAATAACGGGGATGTGGTGCTGCAGGTTTTTCCGGTTTTTTCTGCAGCTGAAAAAGCAATTGCGCCACTGGAATCAATGACTATGACTATGAACATATATCAACATTCCTAGGAACCTATGCGACTGTATTTCAAGCCAAAATTTACGTTATTGAATTGTGTGCGGAGAGATTGACAGAATCCAACCTCATACACAAGTCAATAAAAATATTCTCGGACATTCAAACTGCGTTGGAAGCTGTTGGCTACTATTAAGCGACGCGACGTCTAAATTGGTGGCAAATTCCCAAAAACGACTCTACTCGATAGGAATACCTAACAGATTGTATTTTGTCTGGATTCCTGGGCATACTGGCCTGAAAGGCAATGAGGCTGCTGACCCTCTTGCAAAGAAGAGTGCTGCAAGTAGCTCCATCGGACCAGAATATGTCACTGGCATCGCTTCAGGCTTTGCCAAACAAAGATTGAACACATGGAGGGCAAGTTGATTTATTGATTTCTGGCAGAATCTTCCAGGATTGGTTCACTCCAAGGCATTCATTCACCCTTCGAAGCTTGATACCATACAGTTGTTGGACTACACTAGGGAAAAACGATGCCTAACAAGCCTCTTTACAGGTCACTGTCATTTGAATCATCATATGCAGGACTGTCGGAAGACAGTGTGTGTCGCCTCTGTTTGGAAAATGATGGAACAGAAGAGCACATACTTTGTGCTTGCCCCACTGAGGACTGAATCAGGTTTTGAGAGTTCGACAGAGCCGTACTCCTACCATCTAACCTAAAACACCACTCACTGTACAAACTAATTGGCTTCATTAAGGAGCTGGGCTTATTTGGTCGAATATGTCTTGGTGATCGATATCGATAATCGTTATTGAAAAACGTAGATTCCGGGTATTGCCGTGGTCTTTTTTGGTTACAATATCCAAAAGTTCTAACTACAACTACGGCAGTCATCTTCAGTGGTGTGGTCGAAGTACTCTCCTTGACGTATCAACTGATTTCAGACGACAAAACCCGTTAACTAACTGAAACATTGACGCTAGCCGTCAACTATATTTCTATATCAAATGGAGTTGTTCGATATGTTATGCAATGCCCCATAGAAAGAATTAATTCAAGCAGCCATTTCATTCAACGTTATTCAAAAACCTTCAATGAGTTTTCAGTATTCCATTAAAGAAATATCGGGGTGGTGCAAATTCCTGATTCATTATGAATTGATGTGATGTATGAAGAAATATCTTCTTCTACGATTGCTAAGTACATTACGAATATATTTTTGCACTGAAGTTATAATTCTCACAATATTGTGGAGTTTATTTTAAGCAATATGAGTTCCATTATGCTCACTCCCAACTAAATTAATTTATTCCCATTCAAATAATAGGTACTTCTTGAAATTCCAACGAGAGTAGTTCACTTAATTGTATTATCGTTCTTATGTGCCTAACTTAAACAATGGAAAACTCAGAGTATTTAGAATTCTGATTAATTAATATCAGACCATCGTGGGTGATCCATTTTCCTGTTGCAGGGCGAGGTTATTTCCCACCCCCATCTGATATTCGTCGACAACGACACTTTGGATGCTAATCACTATGACGCACTAATCGTAGGAGGCGACATTCCTAATCTATTGAAACCCATTTGTAAGAAACATCCCCTTCCTCAAAAGGGATACGGAATGCAGACAGTTATTCACTGTGGTAAGTTTGAACTTCATTGAAAGGGGGTTTATTTTTTGAGTGATTAATTTTTGGAAAGAAAAATGTTGGCTTTCTACTTCTCTATTGCAAGAATTCCAATTTTTTATATAAAGATGTTTTACTCTGTGGAACGAAATGAGATATTATAAATACACATTCTTTCAAAAATGGTTCGGGCTCATCTTGTCTCTTTCAAATTGGCAGCACTGAGATAGAGCTCGATAGAGCCTAAAAGTATATTGAAATCTTCAAATCATCTGTTTGATTTTCATCTTGTATTTTGTATTTTTTAATTGTATTCCGTAGAAGCATTGGAATAATAATACAAATCAGAATGAGCCTAACGCCTATTCAAGGATCTGTTTTGATTACAATAAAGTGGTAACAATGTCAGCACGTGAATGAAAACTCAAGCAGATAAGTTTTCCGTCCATCAAAACTTTAACAGAAATTGAAATAAGTTTCGTGGAAAAAACATATATTGAGAAAATAAATAGTTCGCTAAATTGCAACGTAGCCGTTACTACGTGGTAGGAGAAACTTTCTGTTTTTTACCACTTTTATTTATAACTATCGGTTCTGCTGTTCCGTCCTATATAGATATTTTCAAAGTTAAATACAGTTTGAAAATGTCCACATGCGACTAAAGTTTTATTTATTATATTTCATGAATACTTCGACATGTAATTCGAAACATTTCACTCTACCAACTTTTATCCCAATAAAATTGGAAATGTAATAGATCTTTGGTAGAGGTAAATATTTCGGATTTTATTAAAATATATTAATTTTCCTGTATGAATAACCACTACTATACTTCTTATAAACATATAAGGATATACATAATCTGAATTTTTGCAAGAAGATTATATATGTCATATTTTGAGTTTCTTTTATGAGAGGTGAGGAGAGAGTAATGGGGATGAGGCAATTGCAGTGATTAACTCCTGTAGAAAAATAGTCTGAATCAAAAGTTGGGTAGATTTAGGTGTTTGTAGGTTGAAGATACAACTCTGAAGAATCTTGTAACATCAGGTGATATTAGGGTTTCATACAACGAATTTCAAATTCACGAAAACCTAATTTTTACTTTGAGGTTTTTACGGCTAGAATAGTTAGGTATATGAAATCCAACTTTTGTCAGATATCTCCACACAATAGTGGCATTGAACTTTAAAATATGTTCTGACAGCTTCGACCCTTTATTGTCGATTTTTTATTCTTGATGTATTTTCGATATTCATTTTGATACATTTCCAATGGTTTTGATGCCTAATATATCTACGGCTACAATGAAGTATGTTTAAACAGGGTGTAACAAAAAGTAGGTCTTAAATTGAACCACATATTTTGAGGTTTTAAATAACTTGATTGGTTATAACTTACTTAAATGGAAAGGTGCAAACACAAAAAGTGACAGCTCTTGGATCAAAATTAATTTTTTCAATATATTTTTTAGTGAATATGGAATCACGACTTTCTTATCGTGAAAGCATTGGTTTAATAAAAAACCATAAATCTAGTGCGTAGGTTCATGGACTACACAACAGTTTTATAATAATAATAATAGGTCTTTATTCCCATAATGATACATTAAATAAACGGGAAAGGCTGAAGATCAGTTGGTTGCACCAAAAAATGCAACCTCTGTTTTTCATCTTAGGCCATCTTAGGACTGACACCTATCAGGAAACAACTACTCTACTAGCTAATACCACGAAGGGCGTTGCTATAATCCAGGAGAGTAGTTGTTTTCTGATAGATGTAACTCCAGGTGAGTTGAGACTGGCCTGAACGAATTGTTCTTTCAAATGATTTGATTTAGAGCCAGTCTTCAAATATGCCCACGTACTATAGGAATGAAACACCTCATTAACATTTTAGGGGATACTGAACCCCTAAAATCTTCCAAAATGTTCTATCTGCGTTACAATTAAATTGGTATTGTGACATTAGTTCAATACATCCTTTTTGAAACTTGTTTTACACTTAGCATTTTTTCGAAAAGCCAGTTTTTATCGGAATGCACGCTATTTTTCATCATCCTTTGAACAGTCTTCAGTTGGCTGTTCAACGCTTGTAGTTCCTACAGATAAATATCAAACAATTAGTTCAATAATTACATACTACCATTTGTGATACCATTGGTTCAATAATAATTTTGAAATTTTTTTACCTAACAGCACTTTTTCGTAAAGCTACTTTTTATCGAGATGCGGCAAAAATTTTCAGTGAAAAAAAGTAAGTTTCAATAACTGATTATCAATATCATTTGCAGGTACAAAAAGTATGTACGAAAGTATGGTATTTTTCAGAATGGATTTTCAAAATATACATTCGGCAACGTTTTGAAAAGAAAACCCGATTTTTTTTGGAAGATCATAGGCTTCTGTCGAATTCGAGTTGCACTTTCAGGAATTCGATGTCTCACTTGTTGTTCATAGATTATTTCAATAGAATACACGTCTTCTTTTATGAAACCCCAGAAGCAAAAGTCAATAGGGTAGAGATCTGGACTTCTGGCTGGCCAAAAAATAGGTGCATCAGGGCTCTTTCAATCCAACGCCCAGTGTACAGATCAGAAAAAGATTTCCTAACTCCGTTATCAAAATGCTCTAAAAATTCATTCTGTAAATACAACATACTTTGCCTTACTCCTAAATTCACCCCCTTCAAGTATTCTGGTGAACTATTTTGTAAGAACTGTAAGTAGTTTGCACCAGTTGGATTATTTGAAAGGAATAGTGGTCCTAATGAATTATTATTCACAATGCCTGCCCAAACATCAACTTTGAAAGTCTTTTGGTGATGAGTCGTTATTTTCTTCGCCTATATGAGTGCCTTGTGATGATTCGTAATGCCACATTTGTATTGAAGGTAGCTTCATCGATTATTAAAATATGAATAATGTCGTTGATATTTCGATTGTTTTTCGTTGAGAACCAGTCGCAGAATCCCATTGTTTCAAAATAGTTTTCATCCAGTAATTTTTGAACGATTTTTAAATGGTAGGGATGAATTGCTGTTCTTTCATTCATCTTTAAACCATACTGTGAACCACACCTAACTGAGCAGCTATTACCCTTGTATTGCTTCCAGGGTTTTTTCGACAAATTTTTTTTCCTCATCGTTTGTATCCATTTTCAGACGACCACTATTACCAGCAACATGCGATTTCAAAGTAATCGTCTTCCGTGAACAACGATGAATGGAAAGAAATAATTGTACGTGTATTTTGATTGAGATATTTTTCCGCAGAACGACTGGCAGTTGCTGCACTATTTCCTTGGCATTCACCTGTGATTATCAGAATTACATTATCTGAAACCTTGTTTCAACCTCACCAAACTCACTCAGAATGAATGCATATATCTGTCATTTCTGCAAATGTATAAACCATTATAACAAAAAGTTTAGATTTTCTCAATACTCTCAAAATTCGCAAAAATTGAAAGTTTCAATGATTGACAGTACATAAGTGTTGAAGCAACTGTTTTGTTATTTTTCCACAGGAACTATAAATGTTTTTGAAGGATAATAAAAATATCCTGCATCTCGATGCATCTTTTTGAAAAAATGAAAAAGTTAAAGAAAAATAAAAAATGATGTAAATCAATGGTGTTCGTGGTTTCACGGGTTAAATACCCCTCCAATTTTTTTGTGGGCTGAATCGATTTCGTGGTTTCACATGAAAAAGATGCTTTCACGATAGGAAAGCTATCCATTTTCATTACAAAATGTTCATGAAATATTGGAAAAAATCAATTTTCATTTTGTATCTTCCCAAGGCTGTAACTTTTTGTGTGTGCACATTCGCATTAAAATAAGTTATAGTATTATCCAATCGAGTTATTTTCAACCCCAGAATATGGGGTTAATTTTATGACCTATCTTTTTGTTACACCCTGTATATTATATGAAATTCAACTTCAAATCGTGAACAATTTTCTGAGTTATCCCCATCAAAGTCAATGATGATTTGATATGTATTGAAAAAATAGTTGTATAGAGTTTGATGTCTTCTTCAGCATAATATCAATAAAATAAAGTAGACCATTTGAGTAAATCTCTATTGTGCACTTCAATACCATCCAATAAATTTTTGAAAGTTTCGATTTGTTAAATTGAAAGTTCTCAGCAATTGGTGATAAAAATTTTACTTTTATGAGAGAAGAGTGGAAGAACATAACTAGATGAATCAGCCAAATGGACAGGAAAGAATATAATAGTTCACAAATATAAAATAAACCTAACGGAAAAAAAAATTTCAGACAAGTGGATCAGATTATGCTTTTTGAAAAAGTACAATATCCTGTATCTACAACAGAGCGAAACCTGGAATTCTTTCAAAAATTCTGCTGAAGAACGGAAACTTATTGGACCGTAATGATACTTAGTCATTTTCAATTCAACAATAACGTGCATTTTTCTAACCTAGTTGGTATCTTCGGGAGATGTTTCATCACGAAAACATTAATTTGCGCTATGCAGATATACGAAGAAGATTTTTCATGCGTCTGCGCTAAAACTTCTCTATGAAGTTCTAGTCTTTTCAATATATTCATTTTACGCCAGAGTTACATCTATCGAATGAATATGATGTCAGAACTTTAATCATAGTAATGAAACAACTGTATTCACTCATTCATATGATCAGATGGAGAGGCTATGTGAGCCAAATCAGCATACATATTCCCCAGAAAGGTCTACTGATTCGGCACTTCACCATATGGTTGGCAGAACCGAAAGAACATTGGACAACAAAGAATCCACCCTGGGTAAATTCATATATATCGAGGGAGCATTTGATAAAACAACCTTTCCAATAATTACCCAGCAACTACACTCCGGGAATTTACCTCTGGTAGTAGGGGAATTGATACTCAAGATGCTCTCTAGTAGAGCAATGAGTATCAATGTAAAAGACATCACAATGAGAGAACTGGTCATGGAGGAATGTCCACAGGAAGGGGTTTAATCACGCCTTCTTTGGAACATAGTTCTGTATACCCTGATTAATTACCTCAACAATAATGAATTCTACATAATTGCATATGAAGGTGACATAGTTATCATGCAGATCGTCAAATTCGTGAACACACTATGCGATAGAGCGCAGGATTGGCTCAAATTAATAGAAACATGGTGTAAGGAACACTCACTGTCGATCAATCCCAAGCAGACTGAGATGGTCCTTTTCACCAGGAAAAGAAGTTTATCGGGCTTGAAACCTCCCGAAATCTTCAAAAGCAAACTAAAAGAGGTGAAATACCTTGGCACTATCCTCGACAGGAAGCTTACATGGAACTCTCACCTACAGAGTAGAGCAAAAAGAGCATGTGGCTTATGAGCAATGTCGGAGGACAGTGGGACGCGCATGGGGTCTTTCACTCCATGTGATCACCTTGGGGACCGAAAGTTCTACCAGCAACGGCCATTCAAATATTATATCAAATACAGCTATGAGAACAACACCAACCCTGGCCATGGAATTAATTACTGGTCTGACTCCTCAGGACCTGAACGTTAAGGAGGTTGCGTTAATGGCCATGTTACGATTACGAACGGCTGGTGTAAACCTAGAAGTAGGAATGGGTCAATTGAGGCTGAGCCTGTGACGAGGACCGCTCACTGCGCAACCTCTGCTGCAGGCAACCAGTGGTGTAATTGAACCCAGGTTGGTGTTTAATAAACCCTACAAAATACAAATAAAACAGAACACAGTGTCAGATGATACAAAGGCAATAGGCATATATACAGACGGCTCAAAAACCAAAGAAGGCTCAAGATGTGGAATGTACTTCAGATCACCGAGCCTGAGGATTAAGTGGGGAATGGAGAAAAATACCAGCGTGGTTCTAACAGAACTGGCTGATATCTCAATCGAAACAAAAAATATAACCAGGAAAGGAATTTCCGGCAAAAACGTAACAATCTGCACTGATAGCAGACAAGCCCTATTATTAGACTTGAACAGACAACGTGTTACCTCAGGACTAATACTAGAGTGGCACCAAGATTCACCCAATACCTCGGTAGATAGGACAGGAGTCAAGGTTATCGCAATGCCAACTCTTTAGCCAAGGAAGCGGCTGGAATAAGAATTTCAGGACCTAGTGGCACATACGGCCTGATGACTTCGACAATTGCGGAGATAGGATGAAATCAAAGGATGCAATCTTGCCAGGACCAGGAAAAATCTACTGGCCACTGTCATCACCTCCATAATATAGGGCTAGTTGACACACCTCTATGCAGGATGTGAGAACAGGAAGATTAAACTATTTTGCATGTCCTATGCGAATGTCCTGAGTTATCGTCAATAAGAAAGTGTATGTTAGACAAGTCTACATCAGAGAGATATCTCCTAGTGATCTGTCCACCTTCCTGGAAAGGACAAGATAGACGATGACCTAGGAGGGTCGACACTCACCCTCCCTACTCTACAAATACAGATGGTCAGATGGTAACCGGTTAGTGAGTCCTAATTGACTTTTTGATTACTGGTAACGGGGATGAATTTTTTGTCTCCGAAAATTCAATGAAAGTGATGATTGAGTAGATACTTTGGCAAAATTATTGAATACGATAGGATACAGGTAAATATCATAATAGGAAAAGTAAATTGGGTTGCAGTAAACCATCACGGTAAACTACCAGTTTGTTATTTCGGCACCTGTTGAAAAGAGGTGTGAAAATTCCATCGTTTTTCATTTCGTATGATGGATATTTTCAAAAAATGCCAGTGAAAACTCTGATTGGCTTCACAACATGCATTCAATATTTTCTATTTCATTTTCTAAATAGATCATCTGAAGGAATTTCTTCATATTTTGTGATCTTTTCTTTTCTACTTTATGCTATTTTTATTGAATAATATTTGATTTTTCACCACAACAATATATTTGATTGTTTTGTAGGCAAATATGCAGATTCGTTTTGTAATCATGGATACACCACAATCCTTAACGAGGTTGAAGCTTTATCCAAGAAGTATTGTCAAAGTTTTTAGGTGAGGTCATTTCACATTTTGTTATTATGAAACATTTTGTTATTCATGAACTGACTTTCACATATGAACGTATTGAAATTTATCAATTCTATTTCAGAACTGCTGCTCCTTTAGCTAGGGTTACCCAACCGACTGATATAAGGAACTGTAGTGTTTTTGAATTGGTAGAAATCAACCAAACGAAAGGAAAACCCATTTTCAGTATTACTCCAGAGGAAGGCATAGTCTTCGTTCACGACTTCCTACAACTGAAGAAAAAGGCTTCAGAATATATCAGGTATGAAACATACTACAAAAATACCTGCATTTGAGTAACAAAAACTCGTATGCATGCCAACAAAACACGTATACAAACGTATACAACATAGTTGTATACGTTTAAGCCCCCAACCGAATAATAGTTGATAATACCAAAAAATGATTAAAAATGTGAATCGAAACTGAAACAGGCTCAATAGGAGCATTAATAATTCCTACATTAAACTTATTGTGTGTGAAAATTATAAAATAGGGATGCTCCCAATTCAACATTCTCAAAGAAATTTAAATCTATTTCAGTTTGAACATTTCATGGTTCAGACAAAATCAAAGAGAATATGACGAACTCCAAGTTAGAATTGTTGAAGAACCTAACAAAACATGTGATAATATGGAGTACTTTGATAGTTGGGTTACTTGTGCAGAATATGGAACACCGGAAGAATGCCTAAGGAAAAACAGTTGTGGAATTTCAACTGGTGGATCACCTAGTGTCGAATTGAGGTAAGGTTATTCAACTACGAATTCCTACTAGAGTGAGTATCTGCAAACCTCAATGAACTTTCAAACATGGTTATTTCAGGTGAATAGTTTAGTATTTAGCCAAGATGTCTATATTGCAGTATTTTTGAGATTGCCACAAGATGGCGCTAATAATCAATGTTTTCATTTTTTCATTCCTAAATTGATCCCTGAGTTATGGTATTGTCAATTCTATTCTTTTTTCCTGAAAATAAATGGGGTTATTGCAGAAAAAACCGTTGGTTACCATCATTGACATATAAGGATAACGTTTATTTAAAAAATCATCTTTGCTGGAGATGCATGAATTCGTTCAATTCTTAACTATTTGGATAGTTTATTGACTAGTTGGTGAAAACGTGTTGATATTCTTTTTTGTTTTGTTGCTCCAAAAGTGACGATTTATATTTGTGTCTGGATGTTATTCCTTTGCATGATCTACAAATATATGTATACTGTTACTTCTTTCAGAATTGATTACTTCCTTCCTTCCTTTAGAAGATTCCCACTTTTTTCTGTATCAAGATGGAGTAGTAGAAAGCCAAAAACTTTCTTTCCCGAAAATTAGTCACTCCTAAAATTATAACCCATTCAAATCAAACAGGTCTTGATATCTATCTATTCCTTCATTTCAGAGAATATTCATCTTTAACAGAGCTGAAAATTTCAGGACGAATATTATATTTATTTGATCTTCGACTGTATCCGGCTTGTTACAGTCTCGGAACTTCCAGTGTCTGAGATTTGATATCTATAAAAGTACAAAATGAGTAATAGAAGTGAAATAATTTAGTTGATACACCAATTTTAATAGAACATTAATTTGTGAAAAAAAACTGATTATTGTGGCCTGAAATGAAAACTAATTGATTGATGGATTAACAATCAGAAATTATGTAAAATAAAGTGAAATAATTAAGCTGAATGTTGAAAACAAAATTCAATACCTTTCTCAAGCATTTCCATATCAATATACGAGGGTGCTTTTTAAAGTTTCCGACCTCAACATGAAGATAGCAGCACGCGTGAATGAAAGCTAGCGAATTTTGTTGTCCATCTATTGACACTTACTCAGACGTGCCCAAGCCAGAGAACAACTTTAACAAGTTGGCGCTGTAAGCGGACGACACAGCTCTGCTGGCGAGATCAACAAACCAAGCGCACGTCACTAGATACTTGCAGCAACAGGCAGATAGATTAGAGGAATGGACCAACCTGTGGAAGATCAGTATAAACCCTGACAAGAGTCAAGCAATACTATCCACCCGGAGGGTGGTACACCCGAAAGGAAATATCATCTTCAACGGACAAGAGATTCCGTGGACCAACGAAGCTAGACACTTGGGGGGTCAACAAAAAATTAACGTTCACCAATAGTAGGTCGAAGAAGCAACATGGGATTGAAAGTGAAGCTGCTGATGATAAAGACCGTAATACTACCGATAATCTGCACTGTCTGAAGCCAGTGCGCAGCGATATACAGAAGACAGATATGCAGTTGTTTATAAGTTTTTTCATCATAAGACGAGCGCAAGCGTAGCCGTCATATTAAAATGGCGGTAATTCAAAACATTCGTACTGTTTCAATCAACAATGGCTGGGAAAGGAATATTATATCTACAAACAAATAAATTATTGAAAAAAACCATTGATGGTTATCACTTGTTTATAATTCAGTTGAGGCTCATAATTGTAAACAATTAAAAAGGCGGTTAAAACGTCATGGGCGTCCGCGAAAAGGAAAAAAGTGAGCTGATTGGGAGGTTAGGTATATGTCAGCATTTGTTTACTATCTAAAAACATATAAAAAACAGTATTTACAGTTTTATCCTTATTAATAATGTCGATTTATTTGATGTAATTCAAAATATATTCCAGTTGACAAGAGTATCACTTATGGAACTAATAAATAAATCAAGCCATAAATATTTTGAGGCTGTACATATGACATTATTAATTAGACAAATATGTAAATACTGAATTGAATATGTTTAGTAATTTTCATTAGAGGGAAATATTTAATACAACATAGTATACCTATATGAAATTCACAGTCAAAAATGCAATAAGGAATAATGTACGTATGTTGAAATTCGTGATAGCTCAAAGGATCAGGGTTCAGTTCAGTTGGACCAGTTTCTGCAATGAAATGTAGTGAGTAAATATAAGTATCCTTGGTAACATCATGAATAGATTTAAAGCCTCGGTCACTCCTGCCACATTTTTTCACCCATAATTCACATTTTGCACATGCTTCAAGATGTAATTTGCTTGATGATTTGATTTTTTTTGCGATATTGGAGACAAGGCTTTGGAAAATTTATAAAATAGTATGTGTTAGTTTGGAATTATTTGAATCGTGTATCAATTTTACACACTCCATAACAACACCGTTTTGTTGTTCATTTTCGTACAGATAACATAATCATAATTGGGTATAAACATTTTTTTGTGATTATTTTTACTTACTTCTTTATTTTTTTCCACTTTTTTTACAATTCATAAACTTCAATTTATATTATAATTTTTTAAACATGAGTTGCGGGCTCTTCAACATGGTTGTTTACAAAAAACAGTACGAAAAAGATGACTGATACTGACGCATGCGCACAAAAAAATTTGTGATGAAAAAGCCTATTAACGCGTGCGTAAGGGCCGCCGTAAACGCTCCAAGATATATACCGAATAGGTACATATTCCGGGATCTAGACCTGAACATACACTACGTGAACGCATACATGGGGAAATACGCAGAGGACACGTTCGACAGAATTCGAGGGCACGACAACCCAGCGCTAAGCGACCTACATAACGCACTAAACAGGAATGAGCCCAGATTCTGAGAGAGGGACAAACACAGGAGGCCAACGAAGCAGAACCAAAGACCACCTCCGAGAGTCAGACGGCTCCGGTAAGTGTTAAAATTTCTCAACCAGATTTCAAATTAATATCATTTTCTGATTCACTGAGAATCAACTCATGCTCGCGACTAAAAAGACACTCGTCTCCGGTTAGTTTTTGGGGACCTCATGCAAGAATTCAGTTAGGTTAGTCATGATAAAACAATTCAACAGATCAGAAAGTAAAAGCACTTAGAGGCTGACTTTCGACCAAAGAAGGTCAGATGTCAATCTTGCTGAAGTGCCCAGCAGTAAGTTGAGAACCGCTCCGGAGGAGCGGGGGTGGATGGACGAGATGGGATGTTCGGCACATATTAACCGTGTGGGGAAAATTTCAACTCAGGGCACTCTACCCGGGAGGGGAGATGGAGGCCATTTTGAAAGCTCAATTGTAATGTAAAAGTTACTCGAGTGAGTTGATGTGAGTGTTGTTTGGAAAATGGACAAAATCGAGTATCGAGCTGTTATTAAATATTTGTTTTTGACAGGCAATACGCCTACGCAAATAAAAGATGTGGGGATTCTGTGTATGGGGACTCTGCACCATTATTTACCAGAGTGAAACTTAGGGCAGCTGAATTCAAACGTGTCCATAATATCTTGAGAGACGATGAACGTTCAAGACACCCAAAAACTGCAACTACTGACGAAAACATCGCCAAAGTTCAACAAATGGTGGTAGACGGCCGCCGAATTGAAGTGAGAGAGCTAGCAAAGGTTATGAGCATACCAAAAAAACGTGTTTGTCACATATTGAATAAATATTTAAGGATGAAAAAGTGTTTCGCGCGTTGGGTCCTGCGTTTGCTCACGCTAGATCACAAATGTTTTCGAATAAACATTTCCTACGCTCTGTTGGCGCGGTTTAGGCGCAACGAATTCGAGTTTTGGCGTTGACTGATTACTGTAGATGAAATTTGTATACTCCATCGAACGCCCGAAATAAAAATACAGTGCAAACCGACTCCAAAAAAAGCAAAAACTGTTTTTTTGACGTGGAAAATGATGGCGACTGTTTTTTATGGGATAGTCATGGAGTTAGAGACACCCATTACAGGAGCATACTACCCATTATTGCTTGACAAGCTGAAGGCAGAACTTGCGGAAAAATGGTCACATTTGCAGAGAAAAATCCTGTTTCACCAAGACAACGTACCGCCTCACACCTCATCGGTTGTCATGGCAAATATCTACGAATTACGGTTTGAACTTTTTGACCCTCCGCCTCAGTCACCAGATCTAGGTTCAAGCGACTTCTTTTCGTTACCTAATCTGAAAATTGTGCTCGTAGGTCAGAGATTTTCGTCAAATGAAGAAGCCCTTCGTGAACAATTATTTTGCAGAGAAAATCTCCGTGTACTATTTGGACGGGACACAAAGATGAAAGAATTGTTGGGAGAAGTGTGTAGAGTTGAAAGAAGACTAAGTTGGACAATTTAAAAAAAACAGAAAAAATGTTATCTTTGTCAGGTCTGAAACTTCTCAGACCATCCCAGACCATCAAGTTTTGGTCAATTCCTTCAAATATTTCCAACCAAGTTTCTTCTCCATATTTCGAAATGGTGCATATCAGTTTGTAAAACCCGGAGGATGGACAATGATCAGTTTCATTGCATTATTAGACTAATTTCTCACAACGGATTCAATATCTCCTGTCCGCTCAACCTGAGAAAACCAAAAGTCAGGTGCTTCAAGAAGCGAGGTCCTCAATGTTGTTGGACAAGACCTCATACTTATCCGTGTGAAGACGCAGGAGGAGAGTAATCTCTGTGGCTTTGATGTGGGCATTTTGCTGAACGGGTTTCAACTCAGTGACGAAGTTGTGGTCACTCCAATCTGTCAAAAAGTGTAAATCAGGCTGCAGCCTCGAACAAATGATTTAATTCCTGCTTTCTTGTGATCGCGATTTACTGAGAACTTTATAACTTCCATCCAGAGCCATCGTTTCATATAGACACTGCAAACTGGAAACTATATACACTTCATGTCACTATTTTTATAATCGTTGTTAGTAGGTATCATAATTTCTGAAGCATTCCAGCCCCAACAGAAATAGGTAATGTAATATTGATTTATACCTGA